TAATAATAATACTAATAATACTTAGACATTTAGGCATTTAATTACAAATTGGCAATTAAATCATTTTAGACATTTAATAATATTTAACATTTAATCAATAATAATGACAACAACAAATAAAAGCAAATAATAATAATAAAAATAAATAATTAATAATTCTCAAATATTCAATAATCAAACAGGGCATTACAGTGCCTCCCTTAGCTCACAGGCATAAGGAGGTCCATGAGTGTATTTTAGTGCACAATCGCAGCGCTCCGAAACATCTTTGCCGAAGTCTCGCATCTTCTGAAGCTCATCATTCCATATATCCATACAGTAATGCGAGACCCGCAGTTTCAACTGCTCGAAAGGGAATCCCTTGTAGCCCGTACTCATCCTAAGTCTCGAAGACTCTAGCGTCTCCCTGGTAATACATTACATAACATTAGACCCAATTAAAATTTATAATTAATGCATTAATAACACAGTCTGACTATATAACTTAAAGAATATACCTGACTTGATTCAGTTGAGAATCAATCTCCTTGTCAGTCTTCTCCCAAACCGTGTCGAGCGAACCGGTCGACGTGTTAAGCCATCGCTTCAACGTAGTGTGGGAACTCTCCACCCTACACGACGTTGTGTTGCCAAAATGTAAGACAGTGTCCGTCCAAACTTTGACAAACTTCTCCTTGTGCACTAGCCATGTCTGATCCACATAATCCAGCACACGAGGAAACGCCGCGTATGTAACAAGCATATCAGTTACGGCAGTTTTGTATTTGTCCCATGTGTTCGCCTAGACAACCTTCTTCCACTTGCCGTGCGTGAACTTCTGCGCGAAGATCTTATTTTTTTATGTTATTCGATAGACCCTGTCCTCCACATCCTTGTTAATGTGCCACGTGCAGAGTAAGTGGGGCGTCGTCGGGAAATTCCTCTGAATATGAGTAATCAACCCCAACTCCCTGTCACTGACAATGACTAAATGATGTACATCAGGCCCTATCAGAAGTCTCAACCGCTGTAGGACCCAGTCATAGCTGTACTCGGTCTCGTCCTTGATAATTGCATAAGCAATTAAGAAGTTCTTGTTGCACGTCGTCATTCCAACCATCTCAACCAACGGCATGTGGTATCTGTGCAAATGAAAGCAGCAAGAGGAAAAAACATAGAATCAAAAAACTTACTCAAACATACTATTTAAGATTCACATTATATTGCTATTTATAACATAATGTAACATACATGTTGGTTTTGTATGTGGAATCTATACCGACATACCAGTAATATGTCCAGAATAGATTGACTGCTCGTGGATGCGACATGAACACACGTGTCAACGCCTGTGTGTCCGGGTCAACATCTGTGTAAACTATGTAGTTGTTGCCCCTAGCCAAATGCAGAAGTTGGCCAGCAACATCTCAACCCTCCAGACGGTCTTTTCGCAATTGAGCTTTATAGTTATACACTTGTCGGCAAGTAGCGTTGTCCACAGGGTTTTTCTCCTGAATTACAGCCAAAATTGCTGCCGATCTTGCCTGAGCATCACTCATATCATGGACAATCTCTTTGGATGAATCGCTGAGTCGGCTCATCTGTCGATGACCCTCGGGATGCACAGCCAACGCATGATTATGAAATTCCTTCTCGTCTTCTAAAGGAAGCCAGATACTCCATTTTTGGGGATTTTCTTCAAATTTGACTTTTATCAGAAAAGGGCAGCCAGTATATTTAGTCTTCGAACGTCTCAAAATAGCATTCACAAAATTTCCTAGTTTTCCTGTCTGGCCTCTGTAACGTTCCCCTCGATGACGCCTCAACGTCTGAACCATTCCATCTTTTTCGTGTCTCGAGATGACCAATTCGAAACCCCATATCATTGCAATGTTTTTTGCCTATTCAATAGCTTTCTCATAACTATCAAATAGCTCATCTGTAACGAAACAACATCGGTAATCTTCACCGTCTCCTCCAAAATCTTCGAGTGGCACCTGCAAAATGTTACTATGTATGTTAATAATTTTGCAAAATAATGAATTATAACTTCTCTCAAAATAATAATAGTAATTTGTAATTTATTATATAATCAATTCTAACTTCTAACGTAATATCAACAAATTTTATGTTACAAGATAATACATTCATATGTATTAATAACTTATACTAATATAATTTTTTCCTATTACATAATTTTATACTATTAATTTAATACTAAATACTAATATTAATTTTTTATAAATACTTTCTATTAATTATATTAATTACTAATAGAATTTTTAATATACATTATTATAAATTATATTAGTATATAAAAAAATTATATTAGTATATAAAAAATTATATTATTAATTACTATTATGATTTACAATAATTACACTAATTCCAATTATAATTTTTAATATATATTAATTACAATTTTTTTCATTAATTACAAAATATATAAAATATTAATATAATTTTATTACTAATTTTTTTAATTAATTTAAAAAAACCGCAAAAGAATAAATAAATAAAAGTCGGCTGTGCCGCGGCCAGGAATGGACAGGCCGGCCGCGCTTAGTACCGCGTGGTGGATGGCCGCAGGCGACAATAGCGGCCACACGAGTTGTGGCCGCGGTCGCCGCGCGGCCGAACCATATCACGCCGCAGAGCCGCAGTCGGCGGACGGCCGGCCAACAGAATTTTTTTTTTTAAATCGTTAAAAATGTTAAAAAAAAATACTTATGAATTGGAGAGTCCCTTCCCAGTGCGTGAAGATTATCCCGCCATTTTTTCATATTTTTTTCGAATTTTTTGATTGGCCACATTCAGTTTGTTTTAAGAATTATAATTATACTAGTACGAATCCCGTGCGATGCACGGGTAAGAGATACATATTAACATTTATATTAAATTATGGGATATACGTTAATAACATAACACGTAGAGAACTAAAGTAAAACACAACTACACGTATGTTTATATATTTGAAAATAAACATAAAAACATAACCATTTGCTTTTGAAAATCTATATTGTCAACATCTTGCTGCTTAACAAAATTATAGAAGTCAAAATAAAACGTTGGGAAATCGGTAAGATACTCTAACACTTTGCAGTAATAGATTGTTATTTACCACTTTTACTTTCTACCATCCTCGAACTTGTCACTCATCTTTGTAATGCTAACATCACGAATTAGTCCAGTTATGCGGCCACCCTGTAAAATCGCAATACAAAAATAATATTTTCGTCAAAAAATATTAAAATAATAAATATTGACAACTACTATTAAATCACATCATGAAAAATACTAACATCACTATCATGGAAAACTATTTCCAAATAACTTCTGTAAGAGACATCAATATCTCATCTATTATGAAAATAAAATAAATACAAACAATGAAAAATATGTATTATTAAATACTTCCCTTTATACAATATTTTTTATTTAAGAAATATTATTAAACCTTACGGTTTTGATTTTTCTTTTTAAAAAATCAATTATATAATATATTATTGTTAATGTGCAAAAAATAATGGAAAGAATCCAGATTTTAAAGTAAAGCTATTTTTTATTTTTTTACAAATCAAAATCATCCAAATTTTTTTAATTTCAAAAAAAATTGGCATAAATCAAGTTACAAAAATGATTAATTAGTTAAAATGTTATATTAATTATATTTTAAGAAATTCGATTATATAAATGTGGATAAAAAAATATTATACTAATTAATTTGTTAGGAATGTGATTATATGGAAGTTAAGATAAAATGAAATGTTACCACAAAATCTTTTCGTGGTCTTTTTCTTTAAATGTTTGAATTTAAAAATCTAATAACCAAACTTAGATTATATCACGTAAGGAAAAAATAAATAATAATGTTTATGAATATATTTAAAAATTAATTTTGAATTTTAAATAGAGTAAAAGACGGAATAATTCAAATTTGTTTTCAAAAAAGTTTTAAAGTGTTAAATATTCTGGTAAGTATACCCATAAGAATAATCTTACTATTTAAATTTCAATAATTTCAGCAAGTTTGTTAATAAGATAAATTCGGTTAGACAAAAGATTAATTAGTTAAAATATTAGTTTGTTAGAAATGCGATTAAATGGAAGTTAAGATAAAATGGAATGTACCCAAAAAATCTGTTTGTGATCTTTTCCTTTAAATGTTTGAATTTTAAAATCTAATAACCAAATTTAGATTATATCACGTAAAGAAAAAAATAAATAATAAACATTTATTAAGAAATTAGATTAATAATATTTATCACTTAGATAATAAATAATAAATATTTATACGTAAAAAAATTTATGAAAATGCATCACATGCGCCATGCAGAGTGAAGTACTAAATATACATTAAAAAAATGTATTATAACTGTTAGGCTTACAAATATGAAATATTGAGCATCTTACAATACAGAAATTCTTGATTTAAATTTTTTTTTTTTTTTGTTCTATGCAATTGATCTTAGGATCACCTCTGCATATCTCATAAATTTTCTTTCATGCCCAAATAAAGTATAAAACATTAAAACTATCATATATTTCATATTTAAATAAACAATAGTTAAAAGAAGAAACTCATAACTGGTAAAAAACACTCATTGGAACAAAAATCTCATGGATCATAGACCTTATTGGGCATTAAGATCACAAAATCTTCATTATTTGTTACATTTCCCCATTCACTCATGAAGAACATAACCAAAATGATTTTTGTTCTTATTTGCTACGACTCACTATAATCTATACACTAATACACATTAGTCCATTGCAATTTCACCAAAAAA